CGCTGGAGGCACCTCCGGCTTCACCTGCGCCAAGGCCAGCTCGCCCTCCGCCCGTGGTTTCACGCAGCGCAAGTCTATGGGCTCATCCAGGTCCGAATCCAGCAGGATGACCTCCGGCTGGGTGGGGGTGGGTGGCTCCGACCGCTCCGGGGCCGGGGGGCTGAGGCAGGTGGGGGCACTGATGCTCCGGGAGGTCAGGCGCTTCTTGCCCGGCTCCCGCTCTGCGTGTGGCTCTGACATGCAGCGCTTCCGCGAGCTGGGGCTGGAGAGGTTCAGTCCCATGGAGGAAGGGCTGTGCTCGCAGACGGGACTCAGGGACCAGGGCACAAGGTCCGGCTTGGTGGTGAGCTGCAGGGGCTGCTCCGCTGGAGGAAGGGACAGCTCCTTGGCCAGGGGAGTCTTTCGGGAACTTTCCTCGAGCTCCACAGGGGGCTGCCGGCCCTCGCCCTCTGCTTTGCTCAGGGCGTTGCTGCCCACCACCCTCTCCTCCCCTGGCTTCCTCCAAGCCTCCAGCTTCTCCTCCCCACCCTTCTTAGGAGTCCTCTCCTCTGCAGCCCGCTTCCGGGGTGGCTCCCCGGACTTGATCTTCACTGCCTGCATACCGTTCTCCATGTACTTGCTCATGACGATCACAATGCGCCCGTTCTTGTTTTTGTTCTTGACAATCTTCATCTTGCCCCCGAGGCCGTTGCTGGTCACCCTGTCCCTGGGGGGAGGCCCGGTACCACTGGACAGGTTCTTCTCGGCCCCATTCTTGCTCTCTGCAGCAAGGTTCTTGACTGGGCCCAGCAGATTTTTGGCTGGGCCATGAGCCCACTTGTCCGGGTGGGCGACCAGGGGGCTCTTGTTACTGTCCAAGCAGGCCTGGCTCTGCGGCTCCTTGCTGCTGGGTTGGTAATGGGGCTCGTACATCTTGGGGTCCGGCTGGTAGTGGTGGTGCTTCTTACTGTTCAGCTGGTAGTAATACTTCCCTTTGCTGTGGGACTGGTGCTTCATGCCGCTCTCCTTGCCGTTGGGCTGGTACTGGTGATGCTTCTTGCTGTTGAGTTCATACTGGTGCTGCTGGCTCTTGCCGGAGGAGCCGAGATCCAGCTTTGGCCTGTTGTCCACGGCAGGGTCCTGCAGCCCTGTGAGGATGTTTGAGCGGCGGGCGAAGGAGGGAAGCTGCAACACAAAGCCAGGGGCCGCGGTCAGCCGGGGCCAGAGAAGGAGGCGCCGGTGCTCCGGCAGGTGCCGAAGGCTCCGGCAAAACCCCCGCCCCTCCAGCAGCTCTCGTTACGGGACACTGCATTATGGGGCGCCGTGTTCTCGAGCAGGCGGCCCCAGCCCACTCCAACTTACAGGCTGTGCATTGCTCCAGATTAATGAAGCAATGAAAAGAAGAAAAGCACCCTTCAATCAGCTGTCTGGGAACAGGGGCCAAGCAGGACTGCTGCTGCCGAGCTTGCGAGCAGCCTGCTAATGCCGCCCGGCTGCGGGCGCAGCAGGTCTGCCCTGCAGCCCGGAGGGAAAGGGGGGCTGGGACCGCCCCATGAGCTCAGTGCTGGGGCCTGGGGGTCCCCGGGGCATTGCGAAGCGCCTGGGCTGCGCACACAGCTCCTCAGCATGATGAAACCCGCTGAAAGCTGCTCCCTGGGGATGGGGCCACGTTGCAAACAGGCTGCCCGGGAGGTGTGGGGCTGGGTTCCACCACGCATTTACCTGCACGACCAGCGGCTTTGGCTTGGGCCCCCGCTTGCGGTATCCCATCAGCTGCTCCTGCCGCTCCCTGTGGGAACACAGAGTCACGGCGAAGCCCGAGTGGTGGCACGCGGACCCCTGGGGTGCATCCCTCCCCGCATCCCATGCCTGGCAGCTCCTGTGGTGCCAATGACCCTACATGGGTGCAGCGAGCTGGTGCGAGGGGGTGGCGGGAGGGGAGCCGGGGCCCCGCAGGTGCGGAGCCGCAGGCCGGGGGTCCCACAGGAGGCAGCGGGACGGGGGCACGGCCGACCCGCTGAGGCAGCAGGCGCCTGGCGAGGCGACTTCCCCTCTCCCGCCTCCCCCTGCTGCAGCGAGGGGCTGAAGTTTACAGTTTGCGCCAAAATGCTACAGGAAATAAATGCACGGAAAGGAAA